AAGACCCCTCGTTTAGCCTTAACAGACTATTGGAAAAAATTCTGAGAGCAAGCATCTATGAAAGCTGTCATGGCACATCAGGGGGTGGGTGGTTGGCACCTATGTTTCCCCAGTGGTGATGTTTACAAATCAACTCACACTGACCAGCTAAGTGAAATATGGTTAATCAATCTTCACGATCGACATGGCGTAGTTAGGCCTGTATCCAATGTGGACTGACAAAGGCCTGGTCCATTATCATGTATCACTAATTTTAGCATTTGTATCTTCCAAGACGTCTGGCCAGTATAGGACAAAATATCCCTGTAGGTCTGCTCTAGAGCTCTCTGTAGTGGACGCCCTTCCGCCAACGTGGTGTGAGAAATACATGTGCAGGGTTGCACCATTACCTTTTAGTTTAGTGCTCTAATTAAATACACTCACCTTATAGGGTGTTAAGTCAACATTCTTCCATAGACATCTGTCGCGTGCGAGTCTACGCCAAAATTTGCAGACTCTGGTGATACAGAAACATGCGGATTCAAAACGATGGATTAATTCCAGAAAGTCATTTGTAATTCCGTGCTTTATGAAACCATACATTCAAAATAACATAATTTAAAAGTCCACTCCTGCTTGCAAACACAACTAATGGGTCAGCACTTATATTTCCGACCAAGTGGTGGAAATTCCACATTCCCAATATATCCATTCGGATCTCTTGCAGAGACGCATGACCCCTTTATGTTTAAGAACGGACTAAGTGAAAGCAGATACCACATAGCCGCTTCTAAGTTCACTTTTCCAAAGCGACCTGGCCACAAATGGTAGCGCAACAAAGTGGCTCATCGTGTGGAAATTTACCACAGCCAAATTAAATATTCTAAACCGCATGTTTAGAAATGTGGAGGGGAAAACCCGGAAGACCCGGAGAAAGATCCACGCGAACCACAGGGGGGGGGGGGGGGTAGAGACGCAAATTCCAAATACAGCACACGACCAACTGCATACCAGGCGAATGACTTTACAACTCAGCCCAACACAAAAAGTAATATTTAAAAAACACTTTTAAAAAAACCACGCTTTTATGAAATGTACTTGTACTGGCAGAACTCCACGACTCCAGGAAGTGGCCCCGAAGCTTGCCACAACCTAAGGGGCCTGTGGTGATTTACAGCCAACGTGAGTTGATCGTGGACAATTAGACCCAAGCCAATCACAACATATTAAAAATATTTTGAAATATATTTTTTTAATGATAGAATATAGTATTGTCATCAGTATGACATAAGTATACCAAGTTTGCAGTCGATACCACATTAGGAAGTGGGTTAAAATTGAGTTACAAGATTTCAGGACACAACAACGACAACAATAACAGACAGAGCGAGTTGGAAAAAAAAACGAAACGCGTCCGGCCTTAAGGATATTGTTATAGGACGTCCACCGATAGAGACACGGCGAGATATTATGTGGTCAGTTCACGTGGCACCCGGGCTCCGTGTAGGTGGGTGGATCACTGCAACGTCGCAGGATGGTGAGGTGCTTCAGAGGAGTGCGGCAACGAGCTTGGTGGTGGTGGTGGTGATGGGGGGAGGAGGCGAGAGAGGGCCTTCACCCAGCGGTGAGATTTGTTTGGCCCCGCGCGGCGCGTGGAGAACACACGACGACAACCTGTTGACTCGCAGCACCTCGCCGACCGACAAGAAGCCGAAGATGTGGAGGAGCACCGCCTCGGGGAGGTCGTTGAGCCCGGCGGAGGCGGCGGCGGCGGCTTCGGCGTTGGCCTCCTCCTCCTCCCCGTTGTCTTCCATCGCCTCCTGTGCCTTCTAACAACGGCCGGACGACGCCGCCGTGACGTCATGTCCATCGTAAACAACGTGACGTCACGTCGGCGTAAACCGACGTGACGTCGCGTCCAGAAAAAACGACGTGACGTCACGCCCAGCGTAAATAACGTGACGTCGCGTCCAGCTAAAACGACGTGACGTCACGTCCATCGTAAACAGCGGTGACGTCACGTCCCGTGTAAAATACTGGTGACGTCACAGTCGGGGGTGGGGGGGGTGGGAGGTCACACTCCGTGGGCGGCCACGTTGTTAAGTTCATCTAAAATAAACTAAACTAACAAATTAAAAACTCGCAATTTATTTTGTTTAACACGCAGGGCTTTCGCGACCAATGTTACCCCGACAGAGCCAACTCGAATGGCTTGTCACGGTCAACAGAACGTGCCGAATTAGATTACACTTCGGCACGCCGGTGTGTTGGGAGAGTAATTCGCACGATGAAGCCGGGTTGGAATCAGCAGCGAAACGTCGTACTCAAGTTGTCAATGCGGGTTTACTGCGATGTACGGTGACGGGGCCTAGTTGGTAGCGCACAGCTGGCAACCCATACGGTTTACCCCGTAGTCTTGAACAGGGAAATTGAGTTTTAAAGTCCAGACGGCGTACAGCCGTTCCAATAAGGGCAATTTTGTTTCATCTGCAGTATTTGTGTTTCTCATTTGTGCTGGGACTTTGTAGGATGAATTTTGAGATTTATAAGGGGCACGGGGTGACCAATAAATAATGTCTGAATTGGTCTCTAAAAAGGTCGGCACTGATAACGTATGGTAGTGTGTTCAGCCACTTTCCCTGAATATTACTGCGGGTGTAATAAGAATCAGAATGTGTATGTATACAGGAGGAATCCGATGAACTATAAAGCTCTTTTTCACAGATGTCCAGTAAGGGCGGGTAAGAACGTTACGACAAAAAATACAAAAACACGACAGTAGTTCAAAGTACAATATACAAGTTAAACAAATAACCTGAACACATACAAGTACAACTAAACCATACCAGTCCTACCAGGCAAAGCCCACTGAGGTATTAACTTATTTTTCAGTAAGCGACCTGGCCACAAATGATAGCTCAGCAAAAGTGGCCCACCATTTAGAAATTTATAGCAGCAAAATAATCTAAACACTGTACTCTCAACGCATGTTTCTAAATGTAATAATACGCGCCGTCTGCTTCACAGGGGGCGTTAAAGATACCCCTCGTACCATTAGAGCAGAGCAGTGTTTTAACTCACGGTGATCACATCGAGAGCAGGCCCATTGTGTGCCGGCGTCAGACGTCCAAATTCGCCAAATTACAATAAAATGTCCATAGCAATAATCATCGCCACCTACTGGAAAACGAAATCCAATTTAACAGGCCGGGTGCTGCGTCTCCTTGTGGCCCATTGGGAGAGTTTATACCACGCGGGTTTGCCCTTTTAAAAGTGTTGAGACGAGATGTGTAAAGCCAAGGCCGTAGCCATGGAGTTAACATTGGGGGGGACCAACTCTTCCAGGGGGTCTAGGGGTCCCACCCCCAGAAAAAAAATCTAAATTTGAAAACGAATTTCCTTGCCTAAAATATAAAAAAAAAATTCACTAACACATAGGATGGAGTTTTTTTTTACAATAATGTCTAATAGTGTATTACATTGCTCTGTTTTTTTATTTTTTACATTTTTCTTGTTTCATTGTATGTAATGGCAGAGATTAGGGATGAATAAAGTACAACCATAACCACAATCATATAAACAGAAATCTATTTTATAGCAATATATTGGGGGGTGGCATTTTGAGCATATTTGAATATTGAGGGGGGGGGATGTGCCCCCCCCAATATATTATAATTACGGCTTTGTGTAAAGCGCTCTTAGACGCCTTGGGGTTATAGGAGAACGCTGTATCAAAAATAAATCATGGCAAAAATAATATGGTGTGCAAAAATCAAAGACATTGAGAGAGATGGATGGATGGTGATGGCAGGATAACTGGGGATGCCTGAAAGTTGAGATGGTATCGGAATTGATGGTGATTGGGATGCGAGGAGAGATGAGATGAGCCATTGATGGTGATAAAGAAGGAAGGCGAGATGAGAATTGAGATCGACGTCGATTGGAATGCGTGGAATGAGAGTGGATGAAAGGAGAGCTGAGATCGGATGGGATCGACGGGGATGTAGCGGAATGTGATTATGGGGATGGATGGAAGGATGCCAGGGTTGGTTGAAAGGAGATGTGATTTTTAATGGGTGGTGATAGCAATGGAAGAAGGGGAGATAAGATGGAGCTTTGATAAAGAAGGAAAGGAATCGAGATGGAGTAAGGGGCCGTCCATAAATGACGTCACGCGATTTTGGACGATTTTTGACCCCCCCCCTTCGTCACACGGCGTCACAAAGAGTTAGACCCCCCCCCTCAAATATGACGTTACAAAGCTCTTCCCCCCCCAAAAAAAAACATGCTTCAAAGCGCTTTAAACTCTTGTCATTGTAGTGCGTATTTAATGTGGCGCTGCACTGTGATGTTGTAGGAGAAAACATTTATTACAAAGTCTATTTAATTAAGTAGAACGTGTTTTATTCTTGGTTCTTTTCGGTAAAGTCACGTATTATTTTATTATTTCCCTTCTACGTGACTTTACCGAAAGAACCAAGCATATGAATCCCTGCAGTCGCGAAAGCTTTAAATCGAAATTTAGAACGTGCTGTCTATATTTATTTAAAGTTGCGCATTTTGATGTGACGTCACATTTCTCACCCCTAGGTGCGTGACGTCATTTATGGACGGTCCCTAAGGGGGAGGGGGGGGACTTGAGCGGATACTGCACTTTGCGTGGCCATCGAAATAATTATAATCAAAGCGTCCTTTGTATTATTGCGCGGCTGAGTACGAACAACTGCAGCGTGGTTGTCGTGGTGGTGGCGTGCAGCAAGCAATGTGGATTTGAACCGGCACGCAATAACAACCACCCCTGAGATCGCGTTACACCGGGCGATACCATTCCCTCGCAGGGGTTCCCAGAAACCACTACCGCTTATCGGCACTTGAAAACAATATCATGTATTTTAAAACACGCTATCAAATACGTTAGTCGTGTTAACTAACCGAGTGGCTTTAAAGAAAAATAAATGTTCTATAATTTTTATACCCCAGCTAACTCCCCTCCCTCCCTCTCCCCCCCCCCCACACACACACGTGTTGGTACAGGCGTGCGAAAGTTTGAAAGCGCAAGTTTAACAAAAAAAAGAAATCTCACCAGAGTCTTTTGTTGCTCCCACCCTAAAGCAAAGGAGCAACTCTCTCTCGCTCTCGCTCAGTGCCGAGTTGCCCTACCGCGCGCGTGTGACGACGAGACTCGGGCTTCCTTGTACGTTAATTAAATCTGGGACAACACGGCATTTGCCATGCCCTCCCGGCCCTGACGGCAGCCAGCGATAGTTCCACCGCCTGGTCGTCCTCGGGTCAGCTGCTCCGGCGTTGTTTGGTTTTGTGCGATGCCAAGGTGGAAGAGGAATATCCGCTCGTGCTTGCAGTCGGACGGAGACGGTGAGGTTCTGAGTTACGATTTAAATGCTCCCCCGCTCCCCCCCCACTCCACTGCGAACTTGTTGTTGTTGTAAACGCGTGCTAATTCAGGTTCATTATTATAGGTTCGTTTGACCAAAAGCACGTCAGGCGTTCTGTGTACACGGTGACAATGCACCCTTGTGTAGTCGCGACACGAGACTGGGGTTGTGTGTGTGTGTATTGATGAATGATTATTGATTCATAATCTTATTCTCCTCTTCGTTACCCACGTGGGGAGCGGTGGCGCAGTGGTTTAGCCCGGCTGCGGCTGCTACACAAACCGGGCAAAACCTGAAGTTCGATTCCCCCGGTCACTCACGGCTAACGTCAGTGGCAAGTGATACCCGAACCGGACCTGGGCACCCCCCCCCCCCCCCCCCCCATTGACAAAGACAAAGATCCCCCGTATAGCCTTAACATACTGTTGGGGGCAAGTGCTATTAGCGAGCGCCTATAAAGGCCGGCACGGCGCACGAGCGGGGTGGGTGGTCAGCACCACGCCCGGCCGCCTTTGTCTCCCCTAGTGGCGCTGTTTACTAACACACCGCACCCAGGTATCCATTTGCGGCTGAGTCGACCTAGGTGGGGGATTGGGGGGGGGGTGTGCCCAGGATCCGTGGGCTCCCCCACAACTTCACCAACCCGCCACGAACAACCCCCCCACCGAGAGAGGCCCCGGCATTCACTCAACACTGCTGCACCAAATGCCACAGTCAGTGGTGTGCTCCTTTTAAAGGCGTTGTTGGTTGCTACGAATTTTTGCCGCATTTGTATGTTAGTACAATACCCCCCCCCCCCCCGCAAATGGCCATTTCAACAGAGTCTATGATTGTTGTTATGGTCATTGTTACTGCGTGCACTGCGGTTTTAAAGTTTGGCACGCTGCGTCTCATAGGAGAACGTACAGATGATGCTACGGGGAGATAAACGCAGTGCAAAACCCACACGGTCATGTACAGGGCCCTCTTTTGTAAATCCACCGCTGGATGAGGGCCTCCCAGGCCACGCTGTCCCCAGTTAAACGCGGAACGTTGGGCCACAACGTTGCGTGAACGTTGGTGCGACGTTGAGGACGTTTACCCCGGGGGATGGGAGAGTTTCTCGGTCATGAAGGTTGTTTGACCCTACTGAAACAACATCGCTTTGTCATCGTGCGTTGGTGAAGGCCGGTCGCATAGACGCGGGATAATAGTACATTACAACAATGAAATGCACCTAATCATACAGCGTGCGGTGTGTGTAATGACTGTAATGTATGGGGTTGTGTGTGCTGTGTAAACTGGCCGCTTAATATTAGCTGTGTGCATATAAAGAACTGTCCTGTGTTTAACTTTCAACACGTGGGCTGTTTATAGTGGCATGTCCAACCACAGCGATTGTGTGTATACAATGCCCCATGATTGATGCACGGTTCACACGTGGTGCCTTATGTGGGCATCTGTGGAAAAAGAGCTTCATAGCTTATCGGATTTCTCCAAGGTAAAGATTTTGAATTGTGTGTGTTTGTGAAGTCATCATCTGGGATGCGGAAAAAAGCACGGGTCCAATACGCGCGTGGCTTCCCTGTGTGGATGTGTGCGTTCTCAGTGATTTGTGGACTCTACTGCCACGTGTATAGAGTACGAATCATATTTAAAACTTTTAAAGTGCCGCACATGTATTCGCTTTCGTAGAGAGAGGGGACGACTCAATTGGGGACGCAAGGAACCACAGACAAAGCCAGAAGGCTGCAGCAGCAGTCACGGAGTGAGCTGTCATCAATAATTGCCACACAACTTTGTGATCCTCTGGTCTAACACCAACTGAGACGAGGCTCAAAAGAAAGCCGTCTCTGGTGTGGACCAATCAGTTTCAAGGACAATGCATATATTATCAGTGTGTTTTTTTGTTTGCGTTTTTACCACAAGTATTGTGGTTAATGCAGACATGATGCCTTGTAAAAAGGTTTCCGTTTTTTTGCCAGAAAAAAGGGGAAAAACACTATTATTAGATCACACAGTTGTTGTACGGACATCTCCTTTCCCTGTACGCGTGGAGGAGGTGTCATGCCCTGGCTCGCCAGGAGGTGGTACAGCACACAAAAATGTGTTCTGCACCTGTACCGCCTGTATGGGATAGAGTATTTCTCCCTCGCACATGTGGGGTTTCTCAGGGTGTTCTAGTTTCCTCCCACAAGTATTGTGGTAATGCAGACATGATTCCTTGTAAAAATGATTCAGTTTTGTTGCCAGAAAAAAGGGGAAAAACCCTATTATATTTTGGTACTGGCAAAAGAGGTCTAATGATGTAGAAACTGTGTGATCTGCCAACCCCCGTCACCTCCACACTGCTGGATTACAGATGTGTATAGCAACCACGTCAGCTTTGAAATATTGCTATTCCTTGCATTTCCACCCAATAGGACCACTGACTGATAATTGTACTTTTACTGGTAGGAACGAAGTTGTAAACTGAGTGTACCAGCCTGCAATAGATTAATGTGTCCGTCCGTCCGTCCCCTTTCAATACTTTAACGAAGTGAAATCTCGTGCTGTTGGGTGTAAAATCAGCAATAGACAGCGCAGAGACTTGTCCTACCAGCCCAACCTGCAGGGACCTGTATTCCTCACGTGGAAGTCCTGTTGAGATTGTAAGACTTCAAAGGGGACCTGAAACATGATGTAATTTCATTTGCGAACTGACAGTTTCTGAGAATGAGAATTGGGCTTTGGTTGCTGGAATATTGTTTTACGGCAGGAGTGTGAATAAATATCCTGTCAATGGGTCATCCGAGCAATTGGTGTCTCAGAACTGTCATTTATTAGTTTGGATATATGGCCCCTTGGGAACACAGTTTAAATGAAGGGGTGAGGATTTGCATATATCGCACTTAATTGCCTCGGAAACTTACATTTCATCTCCATTATCCCAATGCTCAACTGTATAATATATTGTATAAGCCGAGGGTATGTCCATGTATTTTTAAATGCAGCACGTACTGTGTGCGATATACACTTATGACAGCTATAGTTAAATATAGAATAATTTACAGCCCTTTGTCAATCCACAGTTGGATGAATGCTTCCCCACACCTCGGTGCCTGTGGGGGTTGTTTGACCATACTTCGCCGCGATGGTCAGTACGGATTTGTGAAGGTGGGGAGCATAGATTTGGTTTTGCAGCATTGTATTTTTTTGCCCACGACCTAGGCCAGCCTACAACACCAATTTTTTTTGTCATGTATTATTTTGCCTGCCCATCCGAGCATTATCCGGGATTAAAACTGCTTTGCTAAGTCAAACTTGATTTGGAACTTTCGTGACTGTAGGAATTACTCTTTGGTTATTGCGGTAAAGTCACGTAGAAAGATAACAAAATAAATTAAATAATAGCATACGACGTTTCGATTGCAACACAAAGCAATCATCATCATCAGGTACAAATGGAAGAGAAAACAAACCCAGTAAACTTAGAAATATAATGCAATATAACACAGAGAGTCGGCTAACATCACAGTCAACACCCTACCTGGTTGATTACGTTCTTCCAAAGAACCAGGGTAGGGTGTTGACTGTTATGTTAGCCGACTCTCTGTGTTGTGTTGCATTATATTTCTAAGTTTACGAGGTTTGTTTTCTCTTTCATTTGTACCTGATGATGATTGCTTGTGTTGCAATCGAAACGTCGTATGCTATTATTTTATTTATTTATTTCTACATGCTTTACTAAGTTTCGGAGGCCCGACAAGATCTGGCACATTCCAGGTGAAGCAGAGCGGACCTCAGGAGCTATTATTTGTGGCCAGTTCGCTTATGAAAAATTACTCTATAGCGTAATGGTGTCTTGCCTGGTAAAACACATTTTTTATAGTTTCTGCTTTGTTTTAGTTCCGATATAACTCTCACTGATATTAGCCGCGGCTGGGATTCAAAATCAAGAGTACCGTCATGCAGTTTAATATGTGCGGTGTGTAAACGTCGCCACTAGGGAGACAAAGGCGGTCGGGCGTGGTACTGGAGCACCCCCACCCACTCGTGTGCCATGCCGGCCTTCATAGGTGCTCGCTTAACAACACTTGCCCCATCGGTCTGTTTGGCTATATGGGTGATTGCTTTCGTTGTAAAAAGTAGGCAGACTGGACACTTTCAACCTCTTTTGGAAACCTTTCACCGGATTGGCAAAAATTTTATTTTATTGCCTGGCATCAAGAACAGATTGCTGGTGATCGAGGTACCTGGTCTGTTTGGATGGATTTTCTGCCCAAACTGCCCTTCGTGCACACACACACCCACTGAAGACAGTAACACGTGGAATGTCTGCCACTCCCTCGCGTCAAGCTAATTGCACCTTCGCCCAGCGGTTCTGAATTCGTGTGCCACAAAATGCTTCACCAAACACCGTGTTGTCAATGCATGGTGGACATGCGATCCCTCGGTGTATTGTGCCATTAGTTAGCTTGTTTTTAGCTTATTGAGGCTGGGAGGAGGAGGGAGGTAGGGGGGGGGCATGGTGTTGAGTGGTCTTGATTGGAAGGCCACCACCATACCATAGAGGTTGAGAACCACTGCTTTAGCCCCCAAGCATTTTTGTGGTTTTCTCCGAGCGGAGGGTGGTTGAAGTGAATTCCGCTTTATCTCTGCCGGAACGCATTTGGTTGGGTAGTGTGTACACCTTTCCACCAGCGACGCTGCAGCGTATGATTACACGATGTAACACAATTTTTGTTCCTGCGTAGTAAGTGTTATTTCGTAATTACTTATGCCTAAATAGTGTAGAAATTGGCTATTGTTCCCCACAAACTTTGCTTTTGTGACCAGGACAGTGATAATTTGAAATTGACCTCTTTTCAATGAGAAAACGGGCGGATTTGTGTCTTTTCGTTCACATAAAGTCAGAAAAAAAAATTCTTATTAACATGTATTTATACTTAAGTAATACAAAAAATACTACAAAATATTTAGAAGTGAGTCGTTTTTCGAGATTTACGATTATTCTATAAA